TCCACTCCCCACTCCTCACTGCCTTCTGCAAGGATCATTCCCTTCGTCACTCCTTAGTTCATGCCACACTCCCCACCAACCAGTCTAACCTGCCTGGTACCTTCCCCTCTAACCGCAAAAGCTGCAATACCACCTCCCTCACCTCCATCCAGAGCCCTAAACAGCCCTTCCAAGTGAGACAGAGCTTCATTACATCTCCTCCTACCTAGTCTGTTGCATCTGGTGCTCCCGATATGGTCTCCTTTACGTCAGTGAGACCAAACGTAGACTAGGTGACCGTTTCACCAAGCATCTTTGCCTGGCCCGTAACGGCCAACTTAACCTCACAGTCACTGTCCGTTTCAACTCCTTCCCGCACTCCCCCTCCAACATGTCCATCCTAGGCCCTTCCAGTATCACAGTGACTCAGGATGCAAATTTGAAGAATAACACCTTATCTTCCGCCTGGGCACTCTACAGCCCAGAGGATTTAGTATTGAGTTCTCCAATGTCAAATAACTTCCTCACCCATACCCCGGCTCCCTTTCCAGCCCCACCTCCTCCCTCCATTCCACCTTCTGACCCTCCCTTCCAGCCACCAACCAAATTCATTCCCCCCCATCGACCAGCCAGCTCATACCTTCTACGAGTCTCCACCTATCACCCCCTCCCCCTTTAACTGCAGCTCCCCCTACTCCCATATCCAGTCCTGAAGAAGGGTAATACTCGAAACGTTCATAGAATCATAGAATCCCTGTGGTTTGGAAACAGGCCCTTCGGCCCAACAAGTCCACACCGACACAAAGAGCATCCCACCCAGCCCCATCCCCCTAATCTACGCATCCCTGAAGACTGCGGGCAATTTAGCATGGCCAATCCACCTGCAGATCTTTGGACTGTGGGAGGAAACCAGAGCACCTGGAGGAAACCCATGCAGACACGGGGGAACGTGCAAACTCCACACAGACAGTCGCCCAAGGGTGAAATCGAACCCGGGTCCCTGGCACTGTGAGGCAGCAGTGCTAACCACTGAGCCACCATGCCGCCCTTCTCCTTTCCTCCAGATGCAGCCCAGCTTGCTGTGTTCTTCCAGCCTCCTATTCATCTTCCCCAGAACATAAGCCTTGGCTCTGGATTACTAGTCCTGTCACATTACCACTACACTAAAGTTGTTTTTTGTTTAAAACTCACTTGTTCTTAAAATATGTAAATCTACCCTTTCCACGTGGGCTTTATGGGTTGACTGATGCTTTTCATTGAAGTGTAGTAGTTCCAGTGCCCTACTCAATATTAAGGACTGAACCTTTAGCACCATTACAAAGCAATTGGTCACCACTCACATTTGCTTTTCTATCACCTTGCTGTACCCAAATTGCTTGCCTTTTTCTCCTCTCCAGAACAATTGTGACTCCAATTGAAAAGTATTTGACTGGCTGTGAGAATCTGGGGGCTTCCCTGGTAGTCCAGTGGTTAGGATTTGGCGCTCTCACCGCCGCGGCCTGGGTTCGATTCCCGGTCAAGGAAGTCAAGCTCTCTTGGGGCAGCACGGTGGCACAGTGGTTAGCACTGCTGCCTCACAGCGCCCGGGACCCGGGTTTGATTCCAGTCTCGGGCGACTGTCTGTGTGGAGTTTGCACATTCTCACAGTGCCTGCGTGGGTTTCCTCCGGGTGCTCCGGTTTCCTCCCACAGTCCAAAGATGTGCAGGTTGGGTGGAGTGGCCATGCTAAATTGCCTGTAGTGTTCAGGGAGGTAGAGGGTGTACATTAGGGGGATGGGTCTGGGTGGGATGCTCTGAGGTTCAGTGTGGACTTGTTGGGCCGAAGAGCCTGTTTCCACACTGTGGGGATTCTATGAAAGATGCTATAGAAATGTGTTATTTCCTAAGTTAAAGGCTTGGAAATAGTCCTAAAACAGTTTGAGGGATGGTTCCTGATCAATCAGCTTCTAATTTTATTTTAAATTAAGAAACTAAGGGTAAGAGCCATAATATAGAACACCATCCAAAACTGAGAAGAGCAAATGAGAGAAAAAAGTACGAGAACCTCTGATCAGTTGCAAATGAGCGAGTGAAAATTGGTATGTTGTGGGAGGGAGGAAGACTGATGAAGATCGGACATACACCGTTATGAGGTTCTATCAATAAATAAACGAAGTAAGAGACCAAGTAATGAGTCATAGTTTAAACACAGTAAGAATGCAGAACGGAGGGAAGCACATGCAAAATGGCATCTTTGGAACTGAGAAGTTACAAGTTTATGAGAGCATTAATGATAATAGAAAATTAAGACAGGAGTAAGAACAGTTGGAAGGGATTGTTTGGAAGCATGAAAGATGCATGATTGCAGTTAACTGAAAAACAGAGAGTTTAAATACACCTAGTAGTTGAATGTTTTGACTGATTGTCTATAGAGCAATGTTGTGTTGGTCAGCGCTATGAAGGCAGAGCAGACTTGGTGCTGGCATTCGTGATATCTTTGCTTTACTGTACAGTGCTGTGCAACAGTTTTAAACTAGTTTATGAAGTAGGACATGGCATGGGGTGACATCAATCACAATGAGTTCTGATAATGTCATTTAAAAGCACCGGAGGACAATCAAGTTGACAAAAAGGTGCTTTCTTGAAAGAAAAAAAAACTCGAAAGTTTTACCCAAATTTCTAACCATACTAACATTGTGATCCAATAATGTTGGAATAATTTATCACCCGCTCGTTGTCTAAGTCCCAGTATTGTGTCGGTTTATCAGAGATCATTTTCCAATAGTGCACTGATGGAACAGCAATTTTCCTCTTCATTCACCCACTTGATGAGTTGGATTAACTGTGCCCAAAGTGTTCACCCCTTTTCCACATCCCACCTTCAATGGTGTACAGAAGCCAGCCCTAATTTGAGCTTGCTGGCATTCCATTTCTATTTAGTGCAGTAAAATATTCTGGAACATTCCAGATGACTGTAATTAACTAGGAGTAGAAGACGTGCTTATTTTTCTTTCTCAGTATTCTTTTTGAGATAAATGCGTTTGGTTGGCAATGCGTTGTGTTGGCTCACTTACGTGCTACTTCAGACACCTTCCCCATGGGTATCACATAATAAAGTCTGATTTCAGTCTTGTGGAATGGAGAGGTGTCAGATAAAACAGAGGCACTTTTCTTTGGCATAAAAGCTATGCCACACACTTCCTAACATTCATGTCATGTCAGGTGTTGGCAGAAAGCTGGGAGCAGATCATCTGATGGAGTGATGTTTTTTGTCATAAAAGCACCCAAAGATGTGGCAAGCTTACACATAGCTGGCCAAATTTATCAATGTTTGGTTTGTTCACTTCATTTTCTCAGTAAAATGTTACAGTGTACAGGAATTATTTAACTCCTCAGATTTGATGCCATCTCCTTTCTCAGCTGTTTCATGGCCTACCCAGAGATCACTAAATTTGGAAGTAAGAGCTTCCAAGAGGCTGAGTAACAGAGAGATCTGCTGTATTAACACTGTGCCACAAATTTGTGCCCGTAGTTTCTTACAGACATGTCTCTGTTGAGCAGGCTTGGAGGGCAGCCAAGGTTACAGTCGTTCAGGTTTCATTTTCTAATATTGAATCTCTTTCAAAAATAAAATATGTAATTTCTCTCCCTCATCCATTTCTACTGTCATAAAATAATGAGAAACAATGCATTTTCAATGACCTAATCACAAGCTCGCAGTTTAAAATTACTCGTTAGCCAGATGTAGCTGAGAGAGACCTCGGAAGCACGGTGAAAAATGAGAATGTTTCTAATGTAGAAGTGCATGTTTATAAAGGTTAGGTTGAATATTGCCATTTCGGACAAAGAAGCATTGTTGAGTACCAAACTCAGCTATTGGTATGTCTCAGACAAAAATGTATGAGCAATAGGTTTGTTGTCAGTCCCAACGTTTAACCAGATCTTCGGTTGAGCCTTCACTATTTGGTAGAGTAACCCACAGTACATAGTGTCATGAAGGTGAAAATAGTATGATTCAGGAAGAAAACTTGCATCAGAGCCACATGAACATTTATGTTACTATTTGAAATAGAATTGTAAAAAAGTGTTGATGAATAGCAACCGGATATATAGGCAGTGGAACGCCTTCAGCCTACTTAGTATATTTATTCTGATGTTCATTCTTCTTGGGGTTTTGTGTAGTATTTCATGCTTGTCAAAATAAAAATGCTTGAGACGGAGAATTGAATTTCTCCCACATCAGCATCAAGATGGATTTGTCTTAATAGGATAAGGTGAAAGTGCATTGCCTATCATGGAGTCATACATCACAGAAACAGACACTTCCGTCCAACACATCCGTGTTGACCAATTATCCTAAACCGATCTAGTCCCATTTGCCAGCATTTGGCCCATCTCCCTCTAAACCCTTTCTATTCATGTACCCATCCAGATGTCTTTTAAATGTCGTAATTGTACCCGCCTCTACCACCACCTCTGGCAGATCATTCCACATATGCATCACTCTCTGCATGGAAAAAGTTACTCCTCGTGTCCTTTTTAAATCCTTTCCCCTCACCTTAAACCTATGCCCTTTAGTTTTGGACTACTCTCCCCTTGGGAAAAGACCTTGGCTATTTACTCTATCCATGCCACTCATGATTTTATAAATCAATGCGCTTGTGTCTTTAAGCTGAGGGGGAGAAAAGGGCAATGTGCATTTTCCCAGTGTGCTATTGCATCGCCACGATGACAAACAATGATACTTTTATTTATTGATCAGTGGGTAGTGCTTGTTATGAAGGCAGAATGAATGCTTCCAATTGGACCGGTGTAACATTGCTAATCTAATTTCTCTGGCATTCCATTACTTCACCATGATTGATATTTTTAACTTTGGCTGGTTAATCTAATTTCATGAGTAGACCTTTCACTTTTTTGATTTAAGCGAACCTCAGACCTGGGATCCACCATTCGGTTTTACTCAATCATCTCTTTACAGGTCAAAGTTTGGTTTTCCTTTCATGAGATGGGTCAGCATTCTGTTTCTCTTTTCATTCTAGATTGAGGAGGACACCTGGCAGAAATACTATCTCGAAGGGGTAGCAAATGAGATGTACACAGAATATTTGTCCAGTGCCTTCATAGGCTTGTCATTTCCTGCAGTCTGTGAGTAAGTAAACAAGAACATATCTCCACCAATGACTTTAAGTTCATCCATAAGCACTGAGTAACTCCTGTAAGTGCAGTGAATGTCAGAGTATTCTTACCAATTCTTTCAGTTGCGCAGAGAATTTGGTCCAAGAATGCTTGAAACATACCTTGATTATTGCACCAGGCCTCGTTTACTTGAGCTGAACCTTTTTCGATGTGTATACCCTATGGTCTGAACATTTATCTCTGTTTTGCTCTCCATCCCACCGATGGAGTCATTTTTAACAAAATAATTCATGAGCCACAACAGAGATGTATATTTGAGGAAGAAGGAAGCTTGGAAGGGTATAAACCAACTGGAGAAGTTAAGAATAGTATCAAATTGAAAGAAAAATATGTACGATATGGCGAAGATTAGTGATAAGCCGGGGATTTGGGAAAGTTTTAAAAACCAACAGATGATGATCAAAAAATAACAAAGAAAGGGAACATAAACTATGAGGGTAAACTAGCAAGTAATATAGAATTTAGACAGTAAGAGCTTCTTTAAATATATAAAAATAAAGAGGGATCATGGACCTCTTAGAGAATGAGGATGGGAAATAATGATGAGGAACCATGAAGTGGTAAAGGAGTTGAAAAATACTTTGTCTCAGTCCTCCCCAAAATGCTAACTAACCAAGTGGCAAAAGTGGAAAGGAAATAAGCACAAAAGTCATTTGAGAAAAGATACCAGGGAAATTAAAGGGGCTAAAGGCCGATAGATACCTTGGACCTGATGGGTTGCATCCTAGGATTTTAAAGGCAGTAACTGCAAATATATTGGATGTATTCATAATAATCTTCCAAGAATCCTTAGATGAGGAAATGTCCCAGGGGATTGGAAAACTGCTAATGTAACAGCCTTATTCAAAAAAAGGAAGGAGACTGAAAACCAGTTACTTGTAGATAAGAGATAACAAGGTGTAGATCTGGATGAACACAGCAGGCCAAGCAGCATCAGAGGAGCAGGAAGGCT